ACTTCCACCCTTTGGCATGCCACCAGGAAATTATGCAGAGGAATGTACCTGCTCTCCCTCACAACAGACACAGACCACGATGTTAAATACATGGAGAGTGGACAGCAGAGAAAGGCGCTCAGGGCTGGGCAGGGTTGATGTAGAGACCCCCCCCCCCACACACACAGCTCCTCTTCCTCCTGCATCAGCAGATATGTGTGTCATCATACACTGCCCTAAAAGAGCCCAACCACCACTACAGACACACTTTTTCACATATTACAACCTTATTTCTCAGAGGTAGGGAGGATAACACAATGTGCTCTGGGACGCAAAGAAACCCATGTTTTCTGTAACCCAACCTGTCCCACCTTGAGTAGACTTCAACTGCTCAGTCAGACCTTTCTCGGTGGACAAACTCTCCTAGACAGCACAAAGACCATCGTCTCCAGCTGGAGTCTAAAGCCATGGATGAAATCTTGTCCCACTGCTTTTGTGAAAGTACAGAGASACCAAATTGCTGAGAGACCCAAGGAGAGTTGATGAGCATCCACAGGGTGACATGTGAGCCTGCCAGGCCTTGCTTCAAGAGCTAGTGTGGGCTGGTTGTTTGCTTAAACCAGCCCTGGCTGCCACCATGCCATGTTTCCATGAGCCCAGGTAAACATTCCACTGCAAAAAGCCGGGTGGTTGGAGGTGGTGCAGGCACGGCTGGGCTGAGCTCAGGTTCACAGTGCTCTCCAGAGCTCTGCTCTGCTCCAGCATCCACCTGCAGACCCGCAGGGCTCACAGGCGAGAAGCATCCATCTCGSTTGGGCTGTGGCCTTGACTCCAGAAGCTAGGGACACAGAAACTGAGCCTTCTTGTCACTGAATTCCTAGGGSAGCACCCCTTCCCAAAGCTTTGTGACTATTGACTGCTTCCTTCTCACCGGTCCCACCTCATGACATTGACTGGGGGATGTATCAGTCCTGCCCCCAGAAGCTGTTACAGTTATTTCTGCAGAGATCACACTGYTGATGTGTCAGAGATGCACTTGAAGGGATCAGTTCCTATCACAGGTAGCCGACCCTGGGCAGGTGCAGAAGGGCAGAGCTAAAAGTGCAAATGTGCTCCTGGGAGAGGCTGCCCTGCTGCTTCACATCTGTGAGAGGCTCATCTGAACCTTCAGTGAGACCCACGGGTRTGATCCTGAGCTAAAGACTGCAAGGACAACACAAGGAAACAAACAGGAATTTGCCCTGTATGTGCTCCCAGGGGAGGGCTGCCAAAGTCAGCTGCTGGCCCAGAGGGGCAGATCCAGGGGCAGAGCAAGCCATGGCACCTGCATCTGCACCAACAAAGCACACAGGGAACAGAACAGCCCTGCTGCTGAGCAAGAACAGCCACAGCAGCTGTGAGGCTCCARCTGCAGGGCTGGCAGCTGGGTGGGACAGAGCAGGCTGGCAGGGGGCTGGACAATACCTTGCACAGGAACTGGGACACTTTGTCTTCTTGGCCAGCAGTAGCCCCAGGGAGGGCTCAACACCACCATGGGGAAGGGTTTGCCCTACTTGGACCAGACACAGAGCCTAGCTGAGCTGTGACCACTGACCCTTCACCCTCACACGGACAGCGTGGGAGATCCACCACTCAGGAGGTCTCATCAAACAGCTCTGGTTTGTGCAAAAAACTTCCWTAGACCCACAAAGTTCCCTCCTGGGCTCAGTGGTACCTTCATTTGACAAAACCAACCGTGGTGTTATCAGACCGTGCTGCTCTGTGATCTCAGCTATGGAAATATTGTGACACATCCAGCAGAATTTCTGAGATAGTGGCTCCAATACGCTTTTATTAAACCCAGTTAAGCAGAGCACTGGTGAAAGTGTGCCCACTCTGAGCTCCACACTCATTAATGCCATCACTGGCATTACACCCATTGCTCTTGAGGAGAATCCCACAATAGCAATTAAATCCTCATTAACAATCTTCAATTACAAAGTAAATAAAATGTAATAGTCCGCATGGAAAATCTCGGCTCGTATCCAGGGCAGCCGAAGACTTTCTGAAAGGACAGAGTGAGGTCAAACACCAMAGACAAGCTGCTTCCCTGCTCTGGAGGTCAGATGGGGACCTGGCCATGACCCCCGAGCAGCACTCAGGGCTGGAGCACAATCACAGCACAGGGCTGTCCCTGACTGAGCACAGGATGCATTTCCCCTGTTTCTGGTCATTCTTTGAACATATCCTACCCAGAGCACCTTTTTATCCAACATGAAGGTCCTCTGAGGAGGACCTGCTTTGGATTCTTCTCATCTTTGGCCCTGCTTTTGTTGTTGTTCACAAATCCTGAAGAGCAGATGTTCAAACACAAGCAATGTGCACCATCGGCCAACAACTCCCTCCAGCATCACTTAATCCAGGGGAACAACACCACATCTCCC